AAGATGTCCCCATGGGGTCAAATGAGGACAGAGAGGTTACTTGAGGTCATGCAAGGCCCCAAAAGATGTCCCCATGGGGTCAAATGAGGACACAGGGGTTACTTGGGGTTAATTGGGGTCAAATGAGGACACAGGGGTTACTTGAGGTTAATTGGGGTCAAATGAGGACACAGGGGTTACTTGAGGTTAATTGGGGGTCACATGAGGACACGGGGTTACTTGAGGTTAATTGGGGGTCACATGAGGACACGGGGTTAACTTAGGTGACATGAGCCCTCCCAGGATTCTACCCTGGTCTCACATGTGGACATTGAGGTCTAAAGCTGTTTAACAGCATGAACTGCAGGCACCTCAGGGGACATGTTGGTGTCAATGCACCATCCCTCTCACTAACTCGGGTCCAAGTGTGTCACGCAGGGTCCTGAGGTGTCACCCATGAACTGAACTCCACCCAGGTTATCACCAACCTTTGAAGATGCCAGTACAGTTATCTGGTGCCTTCTGAAACCTCAGTGCATTGCCAGGGGTGGCTGGTGGTGTTTATTTCCATCTCCCCTCACTGTTAGCACAGCTCTGCTACAGAATCAGGCTCCAGTGCAACAGCAGCACTGCATTTATTTATTAGCTGGTTAGCAGTAGCTACCATCACTAGTAAACCACTTTTCAGGAAGAACTGAGAGATTTTAAAACTGCAATTAGCAATGTTTAACTAGTAGAGTTAATTGCTAAGGTTATTGGTATCCACTGGAACCCACAGAGTTGGTTTTAGCATTATTGTTTATAGCAGTTATAATTAACAAATAATTCTGTTTATTCAGTGTGTTAGACTAGAAGATTATGGCTGGCAGAAAACTAAGAGTAATTCAGTATTTAGAAGTGGTTCTACTGAAACAATGGTCTGTTAGTAATTATTAGCACCTACAGCAGCAAGTAACAAAGTTTTCCTATAGATTCTAAAACAGAACTATGTATTAGTACCTACAGGAGGGAGTAACACAAACTGATACTTCAATCTATACTGTATTAGAAGCTAACAATAGTTATCTAGGAGTAGCAGTTACAGTTTAGTTTAATCTGGTCCTAAAATTACCTGTCAGAGTGTATTTGTAGATTTATTAGTATCTACATAGCTAGTAATAAGATTTTCTTGTATAATCTACTGATATCTAACATTACTTTTACCCATTAAGTAGTTATTAGCATCTCTATCAGCTAGAAATACATTTCTAGGAGAAGCTATAACAGAATCTACTGATAGAATTATCTATAGTAGTTATTAATGCAATTAACTATTAGAATTCATTAATGGAATTTCTTATTAGTATACTTAGTGGCTAGCCATACAATTTTGTCTCATAATCTGTAAGAATCTTTTAAGATAATTATCTATTCATATCTGTATTAGTATTATTGCAATTATCTATTGAAATCTTATTACTATTAGCATCTAAGAAATTAAATACCTATTTGTATTTAGTATATAGAGTAGCTATTAATCATAGAATCACAGAATGGTTTGGGTTGGAAGGGACCTTAAAGATCATCTTTAAAGATCATCAGCAGGGACATCTTCCACTAGACCAGGTTACTCAAAGCCTCATCCAGCCTGGCCTTCAACACTTCCAGGGAGGAGCATCCACAGCTTCTCTGGGCAACCTGTTCCAGTGTCTGACCACCCTCACAGTGAACACTGGTTCAATTACCAATATAATAATAATTAGTAATACAATTACCAATGAAAGTGTCTTGGAATATATCAATAAGAATTAATTATTAGGCTCTAGAGTAGCTAATATAGGAGAAGCAGATATAATCTCTCAGAATTCTAAGGGGAAAATCCATTACTATCTACTAGTATCTATAGTAGCTGTCAATGTGATTATCTACTTATAATGCCTTGCTATCTATTAGAATCTAGTGACAGGCTTATCTATTAATTGTTACTAGTGTCTATATTAGCTGTTAATACAACTAAGAGTCTGCTGATGGGATGGATTCAATTTTTTTGACAATATTCCCTTTCAGTATCTACCATCACTAGTAATATAATTCTATATCACAATCTAACACTACAATTATCTATTAGAACATATTAGTAGATTTATTAGTGTTGGTAGTTTCCAATGTCTGCATCAGCTGTTACTGCAATTACCTAGTAGAAGCTATAGGATGACCTGTGACCAGCTACAGGGGGTACAGACATGTCACCTCTTAGAACCTCAAGAGGATTATTGACTGACAGCTAGCTGCACCTTGTTAGCCATCACCTGCTGCTACATCTTAGTGCTTCTTCAGGAAGGAAACCTCAAGGTGGGAGCGTGCAGGGTGTCACTCAGCCTTGGTAACCCACTCCTGGAGCCAGGAGACTTGAAACAGCACAGGGACAGGGGAGACACGCTGCCCTTTCCATCCCAGTGGGGCTGCTGCTGGTGAGAACAAACTCAGAACCCACCTTTGAACTTTGTACTTTATTTTCACATATATAAAAAAAAAAAAAACCTTGCCAAGTATCAGACAAAAATTTCTGGAAATTTACACACAATCCAACAAAAATATATATATAAACCAAAGCTCTTGCTTCGCCAACACTTGTAGCTCACGAGTATAGCTCACCGCTTGCGAGGACGCTGGCTGCTGCGCGGCTCCCTGCTCCCGGCAGAGGATGCTGGGGGTGCGCGGGGGACATCTCGCCTGTCACCCAGGGTTAGCCTCAGCCCTGTGCCGAAGGGCTGGGGGCAGATAGGCCTGTGGACAGTGCAGCACTGAGAGCACTGACTTAGAGGACAAAGGGACTGCGGGGGTGGATCTCTCTAGGAGGAGGCAGGGGGGAGAGCTGTGATCGCAGGCAGAGGAGGGCTGGGACAGGCCCCCGGCAGCAGAAGTTAAAGGCACGCTGCTTGCCTGTCTACCCTCTCCACCACCCAACTCTGACTGTGGGGCCAGAGGTGCCACCAAAGCACAGAAATAAACCAGTTTTACCTGGGGCTGGTAATCATTCAGCACAAGAAAAACCCTGAGACGTTGCTGACTGGCCCTGGCTTAATATTCATTAGCTCTAAATTTGGGAGGGGGGGGGCCTCCAGGACCTGCTGTTGCCAGCAGCTGTGCAGCCCCCATAAAAGCAATTCAATTCCCTGGGGAATGGGGAGAGGGAAGCCCTCCCCCTCATGTCAGCAAGGCTATGCTATAAACCAGAGAACCTAAGCATGGCAACCTAAGTCTGGCATGTGCCTGAGAGATGGGCCCTCCTGTCCTTGCTCTGCCAGGTACTCGCCCCCCCATAGGATCACAGCTACCCATCGTGGAGCTCCCTAACCTGCGCAGCACCACCAGGACATGCTGGGCTAAACCAACGAGACAAGAACAGGTCAAAAGGAAAAGCAAAGCACTAACACCTCCCCAGCAACCAGCAAACGCTGCACTAACACACCACTTCCATTTTCTGCTTGTCTAACCTGCACACCACTATACCTAAGGTGCCTGGGACATCCCAAGAGTAAAATTTCACCAGCTTTTCTGAGCAAGTTTAGGGTAAAACACATCAAAACCTTCCCACACACGTAGAAGACAGATTTCCTGAAAATGCCTCAAATCCTTCCACCAAGTAGCTTAATGGGATCTTTCTTTCCAATATTGCTGTTGGCTTCTCTGGAGTAGGCAGCATGTCCAGCTTTGCTGTGCTGCTAAGTCGACAACCTGCAAGCTCAGGGCTGAGGTAACAGACAGGCGAGTCAGGGGGGTGTCCCCCGCGTGCGGGGGGCTCAGCACTGCGACGCAGGAATCGTCTCTGGCCGTGCTCCCCAGGTACTGGAGCAGGGGGTGGGACAAGGCAATCCAAGAGCAGGAAAGGTTTGAAGGAAGAAAGCACTTAGTAGATTCCCTCTCTAGTTTCTCAGATCGATGTATTTCTCGCTCTTCAGTCCGCCAAAACAGAAAGAGGGGGGCAAAAAAAGAAGGAGTTAGGGGTGAACGTAAAACCAGGTCCTCTACTGCAGGTGTCTGCATGGCAGGCAGCAATGTGATGGGGAGAGCCACCAGCCCAGGCCACCCCATAGTGGTTGAGTATCCGCCCCAGGGCGAGGGGTGAGTGTGAGCTGCACGGGCAGCAGGACCCCAGGGTGGGGTTATCTCTTGGCCTAAGGCAAATGAAACCACAAGGGGCTCAGGTGCCGCGTCCTATGGCTCCACAGGATGCACAAGTATGGCAATATATATATATACAGTTCAGCACTGTGTATAGTTGCTCAAGCCCTTGGTGGGTCCTGACCCCAGGTGGAGCATGTGGCCTGGGAGACTCATCTCATGTTGCACTTTGGCTCAGAGATGCCAGAGCAGAGCCCATTCCTGCAGCCTCTGCTCTGACTGTGGGCCAGAGATGTTTATGCAGTTCCTTTTCCCATGGCCCCCCAGGGAATATATACAGTTCAGCACTGTGTATAGTTGCTCAAGCCCTTGGTGGGTCCTGACCCCAGGTGGAGCATGTGGCCTGGGAGACTCATCTCATGTTGCACTTTGGCTCAGAGATGCCAGAGCAGAGCCCATTCCTGCAGCCTCTGCTCTGACTGTGGGCCAGAGATGTTTATGCAGTTCCTTTTCCCATGGCCCCCCAGGGAGCCTGGCTCCTGCTCCAGGGAGCATGGAAGGAGGCAGTGCCAAGCAGGCTGGGCAGTGTGGTCCCAGGAGGTGCCAGAGGCTGGCAAGGAGCAGAGCTGCCTGTGTGCAGGGAAGGGCTGCTACTAGTCCTTGGAGCAGAGAGCTGTGGCTTTGTCACCTCCCCTCCCTCCCACAGCCCCTCTCAAGCACTGACGATGGATGATGGAGGCCCATGCAGGGTGGGGAGTGCTGGGAGAGGAGCTTGCAGAGAGGAGAAAAGCATTACCTTGATGGACCCCGTACACTCCTCACCTCTGCTCCCAGCCCCGGGAGCAGCCCTGGCCCTGGGGAAGGGCA